CCGGACTGGGGAAACAAACTGAAACAAGGACGAAATACAGAGGACTAATGACAACAACCAGAAACAGCTGATCNCAGAGGACTAATGACAACAACCAGAAACAGCTGATCACACGGGGATTCTACACGGGGTTAACGAGGGGGCGTGGCACACGGAAGGAGCGGACGATCGAGGCAGGACACATTGTTTTTTTTTTTTTTACTTTACACATTGTTTGGATACATTTATTTTCTTACTTTAAAAATTAGATGTGTTTAGTACAGTATATGCTCTTCTTGTTTTGTCCGGTTCATTTTGCGTTCAAATGCTAAAAAAAAAACATATTTAGGTGTAATTTTTTTGGGCATTATGTCTTATGGGGGAAATTCGAACAGAACTCAAACTTTTTAGGATTCGGTCCGGAGTTGTGAAAGGATTAATTTCGAGTTCTGAGGTACCACTGTACGTATATGTACGTATACTTTGAAGTCCAAAAAACAAATCATATATATGACACAAAACTATGTTACCTAACATTCTGGCTTTGTAAAACATACCTCCAAAAAAAACACTTTTTTTTACATTGTTGCAATTAATGGCACATCTTTTCCTGATCAAGTAGAGGAAAAAATTATGGAGTCAATTAATGTTGAGAAAAAAAATTATGGAATCACCCTGTAATTTGCATTTCTGAAATAAATACCTGCACAAGTCTAATTATGCAAATTAGTCTACAGTTAAAAGAGAGTACTTGCAGACCTTAACGAGCTGCTGCACCTGACTGATTGACAGGAAACATGGCCCCAACAAGAGAGCTGTCAGTTGAAACAATGGAAAGGATTATAAAACTCTTTCAAGAAGGTAAATCAACACGGAGTGTGGCAAAAGATGTTAGTTCCCAATCAGCTGTGTCAAAATTTTGGAGCAAGTACAAACAAAATGGAAAGGGTGAAAATGGGAAACATACAGGTAGACCAAGGAAGACATAAAAATGTCAGGACAGAAGATAGAAAATGAAATGAAACAACAAAAGAAATTAAAGACAAATGGACAGAAACAGGAGCCAATGTTTGTGACCGAACTGTAAGAAATCGGCTGAGAGAATCGGCTGAGAGAAATGGGATTTAGGTGCAGGAAGGCCAAATGTTAACCATCATTCACACCTAAAGTAAATACGGTTACAGTAAGCTAAAAGAAGCAGTTGTGGACTGTGGATGATTGGATGAAAGTAGTATTCAGTGATGAATCCCAATTCTGCATTGGCCAAGGAGATGATGGTGGAACGTTTGTTTGGTGACATCCCAGTAAAACATATACAGACGACTGCCTGAAGAAAACAAGCAAATTTCCTCAGTCATTGATGATACGGGGTTAATAAAGATAAAGGACTAGGGCAGATGGCAGTCAATACCTCTACAGTAAATGCACAGGTGTACGTTGAAATTTTAGACAATTTTCTCATTCCATCAGTCGAAAGTAGGTTTGGTGATGATGAAGTAATTTTTCAGGATGATAATGCATCTTGCCACCGAGTTTTCTTTAGGAAAAGTGTATCAACTCAATGACATGGCCAGCAAACAGTCCGGATCTCAATCCAATTGAAAATTTATGGTGGAAATTGAAAAAAATGGTACATGACAAGGCTCCATCCTGCAAAGCTGATCTGTCAATTGCTATATGAGAATGTTGGAACCTGATTGATGAAGAATATTGTTTTTCATTAGTGAAGTCCATGCTTCAAAGAATTCAAGCTGTCATAAAAGCCAAAGGAGGTGCAACAAAGTACTAGTACTAATTGTGTTCTTTTTTTGTTCATGATTCCATAATTTTTTCCTCAACATTGAGTGATTCCATCATTTTTTCCTCTACTTGATCTGAAAAAAAGATGTGCCATTAATTGCAGCAATGTCATTTTTTTGATGTATGTTTTACAAAGCCTAAATGTTCAGCTGTTAGGTAAAATAGTTTTGTGTCATATCTGTGCTTTGTTTTTTGGACTACAAAGTAAAACAACTGACTGAACATCCTCCAAGAGTAGTGATTCCATATTTTTGCCAGGGGTTGTAGAAACATACATAATTTACTTTTCCACCTTGTTTGTACAGAATATTTTATTTATTTTATTTATTTATACTTTATCGTTAAATCTATACAGCAGATTTATCTTTCGTTTTTCTCAGAATAATATAACGATGTAACCTTATTCCCTTAATAAGATGGCAAGTAGTTGTAATACTCAGTTATGGATTGAATTGTTTGGGTATACAGAAGGTTTGGATGACATAGCCCGTCTCGTTTTGCTGACGTTAAAGTGCCACATTCTGAGCCTAGCTTTTCTGTGGTGCCTGCTGTAGTCATTTTTTTCTGGCCCAGGGCCATTTTTTTGCGGTGAAAAAAGTCCGGCACTAGCACAACTGAGTGGCACCATTAGCATTCAGCTTAAATGCCGCAAAAAACATATCTAAAATGGGAAAGAACTGTTGTGCGTTTGATTGTATAATCAATTTAACAAGAAATATGAGATATCTTTTTACAGACTGCTGAAAACTGAATAAGTAAGTATCGGATGTGGATCTTTCACATATGGCTTACCCGATTCGTCTAATAAGTGTGGATTGGTGCCTATACCGATCCAAATACCGGATCGGTGCACCTCTAATTGTATTCCCCGCCTCGGAAAAATAGTTAATTCCTAAATGGCGACAGAATTCAACTTGTAAGCATAATGAAATTGTGTTTTGGCACAGCATGGAGGTCTACTAGGAATGCGGGACCGTTTAGAATCACTGAGCTGCTGATCTATAATCGGGTGTGTTCAGTCCAGAGGCAAAGCAAGGAGTGCCTTACGTTGGCACCTGCCAGTCAAGGCCATCACTGGCAGGCGAGATTATTTAAGCAACTTTCAGGAGGCTTTCTCCTGGTAAATGGGAAAATTTTACAAATAAATGAGGGCAAGTGGCGGATGCAGACGCAAGGCACTAGAAAGAAGCTGCTCGGTGTGGAAGATCGATCTGCACACATCGTAGTTGAGGGCTGGCTGACATCGATGAGCCCAGCTAAACGGCAATAAAGCAGGCTGACTTACATTGCCGGCAACTTAACGCTGACTGATGCGAGTCTCTGCTCAGCTGGAACAGATGGCATATGAAAAAAATAACAGCACTGAATCTGAATTAAAGGTCTATGGTTATACAAAATTTTTACTTCCTGGTTGATGGGCAAATGTAACAAAATAAAATAAAAGTGCTGCACGCAAGCTTGCCAGTGAAATCAAACACCATAAGGCCACCATCTGCAAGCAGAAAAATTGTAAAACATCACAAAAGGGAAGAGATGCAAAATTCAAAGCTTTTGCCAGCTTATATTCGATAGCAGCACAGCAGGGGCCCTGCATGGTATCAGCCAGTTGTTTTGTGGTGTTCCCCATAAAACTTGACACTTAAAAAGCCCTGTGAGCTGAGGAAGGAAGCACTGGGGAGAGGGGCTGCAATCCTGTCATTAATGGCGCCTTTCCCACCATGAATGGATCGCTCTTCTATGTGAGATCTCGCACATCATGTCCTCAAAACACATCACTACCATGTCATTTTGATGATGGCTTCACTTGTAAAATGACCATCACCTCTTTCAAGGTTCTGTGCACCCCAAGCTTTGGCCTATAAATAATGCATGAATAACAATTCTGAATTTGAGAGAACAAGTTATGTCAGGAGAAGTTAAAACAGATGCAGTTTTAATTTTGCTTGTTACAATACGTTATTGACTAAGATCAGTGTCAGTCTTGCAGATCTGTCCACTGTGCTGGTTAGCCAGCTTATCACATGTGGCAATTAATAGTTAATAGACTGGAGGAATCGATGCTTCCCTGAACAATTTGCTAAAACTGAAGTTTTGTGACATTATGTTTAGAAGAGCATTTTCTGTCCACCTGCATACCTGTGGAACTCAACTTTGACCTAAAAAAGGTAACTCCACTGCCTTCTCTCTAGTAACCTCACTTGAACACGCCCCTTTGGATCATCTCCACGTGAAAGCCGGCTCACTTCGGGAATTATTTCCAGCATCCCGTTTTAAAACCACTTGTTGGTCCGCCTCATTGATTTAGAACCCTGGGAATTTCAGTCTTTCCTTATACCTGCACAGCATACAGTTATGAGAAAGTTGTAAGCCCTTCTAGCTACAGGAGACATTTTTTAGTTGTGACCTCAACATCATGGTACCAGGCCCAGGAGCTTCACAGATGCTAATTCAGTTGACAACCGAAACAAACTGGCCATCAAATTTTTTCACGCTTGGTCAGATTGCATTTCTTTCAGGTTTATTCATGGAACATAATTAAATCATGTTATGTGATCTACAATCAAACACAATCCCAATTGTTAAATTTGAGATTATCCAATCTGTGACATCTTCTTTGATTTTATTTAAAACATTTCCTGGAACATATGCCCCGACATTCAAAAATTCAACAATGCTTTATAACTTCAGAATGGTCCCCCTCAGAACCAAAACCAGCTGTCACAACCTAAAAAGGTTAATTATTTTAATCACCTGCTCAGTCTTTCTAAAAACCTCAAGCTGCATAGCGGAAAACAAAGCTTGGCTCCACTGTTAGACAGCACATTGATTGCCGATCTGAAGAGCTCCCATACAGTAAATTGCCTATACAGCCATCCTTCTTACTGGGTCTCAATACCCTGTGCTGAAAGAAAAGGTAAAACAACTCAATGGGCCAGCCTACAGAACCAGAACAAGGACAAAAAATAGAGGATGAACCTACTCCGACAAAAAAGAGGGCGCAACCTACACAGAATTTTCCACTCCTATTAAACCTTTTGATAATTTAAAAGTATTAATTGACTTAAGGTTTATAGCCTATGTTGTACAAAGGAAGCAATGCAAATGAATGCATTCAAGGAGACCTCACGTTTTTACCAAGACGGGAGACAGTTTGCCATAAGCTGAAATCAGCTGGGTTGGTTGGCCCAGTTCAGACAGTAATTCTCCATAGTGTCACTTACATTCTGAGCTCCTGACGGGTTGCAGTGCCACAAGGGACCCCAGGCTCGGCCTCATCCATGCAGGACACCCCAGCCAGCTGCTCCTCAACCTGCTGGGCAAGGGCAGGAGAGCCAGCAGACAGTGGGGCGGAGCCTCTGGAAGGGGAGGCGGCAGTGCTGTCAGTGTTTCCCTCGGAGACAGTTGGAACGTAGCCAGCGACGGCTGCCGAAAGGCTGGCCTCGGAAGTTAGATGATCCAATTGGGAACAGCGGCATGTTGCACTCTCCATTGGGTAGCTAAGGACGAGGTGAGGAGGCAATCAGAGAACAAAAAACATATCCTCTTAGACACACTAAGGACCTGGACTGAAAAGCAGGCACACTCTGATGAGACATGGAAACAGCCAGTCTGACCTCACTAGGATAGCAGAGAGCAAGTAGCAACTCAAAACACTAAGTGGCTTGATTACAAGTTCCCCCCGAAAACAAGGCCTCTGCCTACTGTCTCTCAGTCCCAGAAAGGCCACCTTGCTGACTCATGGACCACAGAGGAACGATGCCACCTGCCATTAAAGTGGCTGCGCACATCAGCAAAAGAGGACAATTGGTGCCAGATACCTTGCGAGAGCTGCGCTCTAAACGGCTGTGGCACCTATTTTAGGCTTGTCAGAAAGCAGTCCTGTGCACTTCATCACATCAGTGAGGGGAAATAAAGGAAATAAATCTGGATACTGGGTCTATGTTTACATCCTGTCTGCTCTGTAGATTTTTTCAGGACCCCAGAGAAACCAGAGAATAGAGCATACCTTGTGTATAATTTCAAGTTCATGTTTCTTAATACCACATCTTCACCTTGGAAAATAAACTGAGCAGCAGGAAAATACCAACTTCTATGAAATTGTATTTTTTTTTATGGTCAGTCTTTCATACAGTATAAAGGTCTGTTGTGCTTTTTTCCCCCTTTCAGAATCCTCATGAAGCCACCAAAAATACTATTTTCTTCACAATTCTCAATAGGAATATAAAGATGCATTGATGCATCATGATTATTAAGGTGGCGATGCAATGCATTGATCTGTAACATCAGAATCGATTTTTCGCGGTAAAATAAAGATACTTTGTTCATGTGTTGCAGGTAGATATGCAAAGTAGCAGTAACAGCACGCAAAATTCCTCAATGTACAGTAAGATGGCAGGTGAAGGTTTATGAATATTCATAAAGGAAGTACATCTGATGCTTTTTGGGAAACTCCTCCCCATTTTATAGCACAGAGCACTCTCTCTAATATTCTAGCGCAAGAAAGTAGTTATTTTTTCAAGCTGTAGTAGCAATGGTCAAGACCCTGAGATGGCTAACTACTGTATCTAGCTGGGCAAAAGTAATTAGCCTTACCGATGCACAACATATTGTTTAACATATTGGTATTGGCCAATATTTGTTAAAAATCAAGATATCAGCAATCACTCCAATCTGTCAATTTTTTATTTTTTTTTTATTCAAAAAGTTAGCAGTACCAGAGTTAAAGACAGCTACTAAAATAATGGAGATGCTTGCATTGGAAAATCAGCCATTTTCCGTGGTGGAGAATTTTGTTGGCTCATTCACCACTTAGAAGAGATCTTTCATTTGTCACAGAATAAAAAATGATGTAACTTCATTCCAATAATCTGCCCCGCCAAGCTTGGCAAATTTCACCACACTTCTTTTAATGTATTTGATTTTTTTTTTTGTACAGTTCAGTAGTTGGCCTTTTGACAATTTAACACTGGCAAGTTCTCCCTGTTTAATAATAACAAAAATTAATGTTCTGAGATTGTACTTTCTTCATATTCCATTAATAGTGTAAATAAGTTTCCATGGTAATATTTATGAATTTTAAAAAAGGTTGGAATTTAGGTTATCAAATAATTGAATAATTGAATCGAAATGTGATAGAAATTAAACATTTCCGATGCACTGATAATAATTGCAATAATATTGAATTGCCTAGGGGCCAATAATATAGACCCCAAATGCTTAAAAAAGTTTGTGGGCCTTTCGATTTTTACATGTGGTTTAGCTGTGACCCAAAGAACTTTTGGGCCACTATTGATAAAACTGGGTATTTACTAGAGCTGTCCTATTTGACGTACTGTGCCATGGGTGCTAAAGTTGAGCTCCTCCAAGGACTCAAATTGACAAATTTCCATGGGCAAGTATGTGCCAGTTACCTCCAAAGCTATTCCACCAATATTTAACATAACTGTCTATTTACTGTTGGGACACAATAAGACTGGAGTTTATCCCATGAAGCATAAGGCAGGGGACACCCTGGATGGCTTTACAATCACACATTAAAGATTCACATAAATCATGTCTTTAAACTTTATGGGGAACACTGAGCACCTACTGTACAGCAGTGTTTCCCAATCTGGTTCTTGGGGACTCACAGACAGCCCCCATTTTTGCTTAGGAGCTGGAAGGCTGAAATGTGGACTGTCTGGCAAGGAGTTGGGATGGAGCAAAAACATGGACTGACAGTGGGTCCCCAAGGACCGGATTGGGAAACACCGATCTAGAGGAATCCCACACTGGTCTGAGGAAACCATGCACACTGCTCACAGACAGAATAGGCAAATGAATCCACAGAGTAATGAGGCTATAGCTAGTGCTAGTCAATGAAACGCCCTGCCCAGCAAAAGCTTTAAATTACGGATAACCCATTCCACTTTAATCACTGACAAAGTAAAACTTAAAGAACTTGGCAATTAGAACAGCCAAGAGCATCTATTGATCCTTTATCGAGGGGAAGTTTAAGACACACCTCTCACTGCAATCCCAAGCCAACCTTAAGATATATTACTGGCAGGACCCCCTCCCCAGTATAATGGAGATGCCCAGTACAAACCCTATTCAGGAATTCTCCAGAGGGCCGGCGTGTTAATAATGACACATTGTGGTAATTTGCTTTTCCACAGGAGGGCACAAATGGATGTTGTGGGGTCAGTCCATTTACAGAATGTCTTTAATAAAAGCTGAAATCCTTCTCAGTGGGGAGTGTTACAAGTTAAGCAGGAAAATACACACACTATTTAAACCATCGGAAGTCTAGTACAATAGCTTGATGTTGCAGCACTTTTTAATCAATTTGTGAAATGATTTTTTACAAAAATTATCAAACACTTGGTAGTGGTTGAGTACAGAAACTGAAAGCAAAGTAAAGCACAGCCACAAGAAAAACCGACAATCATCCATTCATCCATCCACTTTTAATTCCACACCAGCTATAGACCTCACCTGTCCATCTTGTCCAGGAGAGTTTGGGTCTCCAAGGACGTCTGCAAGCTGAGAGCATTGCCACACACAGAGCAAGATTCTAGGTCCTTCCTCCAGTTGAGGGCCAGGTTCTCTTCCTCCTGATCCCTGCTGGGAAAGCAGTGACACCAGGCATGCACACATATTTGAAGTTACATACTAGCCAGCTACCCCCCCCCCAGCAAATTCAATATATCAAGGTGCTGCAATCTAATAAAATTGCATTCAGTAATGGGGCCTTTGCCAATATTGGCACAGCCACAATAAATAAGCACAGAATTACATTGTTAACTATATTTTAGTCACGCACTGAGATTCTCATATTAATTTTTGGCAGACACAATATACGTGTACAGCCAGTGAAGGAGAGTAGGAAAGCAATATGAAAATTATGATCTATTAATGTTCATCATTGATCACTGTCAGCTGCTCTGGCCCACCTCAGGAACTGGGCAACCTGCTCACCAGGTCACTCCGCTGAAAGTTAGCTGAACGGGGCCCTTTGCCATTACCAAAGTCAGAGAAAGTAAATTAAACCCCAATTTAATTTAAGGGGAATTTAAAACAGCCTACTGAGGCAGCCCACCAATCAATTTGCACGCAGTGGTTCACCCCACATCCAGGCTTCCTGTAAGCTGGGATATTTCTGAGGATATACTCTGTTGTGTTTAGCGTCAACATGTACATAAAAGGATGGACGTTTCTGTATCCTTCCACAGTTTGCATGCCAAAAAATATAACTGCAGGTCTCCTCCAACTCAGATATTTTCAGATTCATACACAGCACTGTGGAACTCCTGAGCTCACCAAAAAGCAATTTACACCACATAGACATGTAAATATCCTTGAGAGTAGGATCTCTCATTAAACAGCTTTCTTTTACACATGCCGAGGTTTGCCCAGCATTGCATCACACCTTCCTCTGACCATCTGTACAACGGCAGCCTGACGACTACAAATGAGCATCTCTCACAGGCACCGGCTGCAACCATAGCTCCATCAATCATGCCAATTTACCGTCTGGGGGATGAAACTGGATTCCTCAAAATGTTTATCCCACGGCAAAAGATCTATTAGGGGTGTCGATAGATAACATGGGGTAAAACAACAGCAAAAACAAAAAGGAAGCCGTGACTCTCACTTCCAGACACTGACGTTATCAAACGAGGGGGGGGGGGATTGAAATGGCCACCACACAAGAGCAGTGCTGCTTCCTTGGTGCAGTGTCTGCCTGCAGCTTACAAGAGTGGGCCTGACACTGTGCATCACGACACCACACTCTGAACACGAAGCCAGGAATATGTGGGGGGGAATAACAAACAACTGGAGTTAACAAAGGCTGTCGAACGTGGGAACGGAAAGTCTGTGGAAAGTAACTGCAGCAATTCAATCCCTCCTCCAGTTCATTCGGAGAACGGCCATGGTGTCAGTGCTCGGCAGGTTTCAAAAGGTATGCGTGGGTAAGTGGCTGAGCCTCCGAACCTCCCACAGGGACGTCCAATTGGACTGTGCCAAGCTGAGCATGCCCAGATTAGACTGCATCGAGTTAGATGTCTACGTTAAGCCAGGCTGATTTGAGGAAGCGTAGGAGTAAGGAGGCTCATTACCGCTGCTGTTGTGCCTCCATTCGGCGATGCCGTTTAGCCCATGTGAGCTTTGCGTGAGTACTCCGCTGCGGCAGGGCGTGCAGGGGGCTGTGGTCGCCACAGTAGTCATCGTCTAGGTCTTCAAAAGGACACTCAGCCAAAGCTTCCAGGAAGGGAAGGAGGGACATGAAAACCTCAGTTGAGTTTGCTCACACACACACACACACTGCAAGGGCTGGTCTATATATACACACACATGCTCTAAAAGGCCTGGTCTCGGCATCAGGAATTGGAAATCTATGCTTCTAGGTGTGATCCCATCATAAAACCTTCCTAAGCACCATTAATTCCACATACATGACACACTCTCCACATGGGTAAAGGCTCCACGAGCTGAAGGTTTACGATGCTCTCATTATGGGGACATTACACAGCAGGACAGCGGCATTCGAAGCCTCGAGCTCAGAAGCGTGACTGTGGGAAACTCTGACGCAAGGGATGATGGGATACATTCCCTACCACATAAGATTAAATCAACAAATCCAGTGTATCTGGATTGCAGACCACTGGTTTGATAATACTACTACAACTAATGGTATGCTCCTTAATACCTCAAACTTGTTCAAACCAAAAACTACCAGAGACATCTTTCTCTAAATTACAAACATTTTCCATAACCACTTCATAGCAATCAGTGAACCACAGTAACACTGCTAAATACTGCTTAAGCACCATTCTGGAAAGGATATAGCATTAAAGAAAACAGAACTATACATCACCTTCAAACGCGAGAAGCACTATGGTGTCCAACATTAGCCATTACATGACAGACAAGAAAGGTATTACCGCCAGCAGTGAATTTATACTGTTCTTTAGTTTTTTTCTCTACCTCAGAATGCCTCCTTGCAGGCTTCAAGAAACAAGGCGGGGGTTGGGGGTGGAATTGTGGCAGAATTACAACCTGAGGCTCCATCCTAACAAGAGTCAAAAGGAGGAATACTGGTCCCATAAGGGTGTCGGCTGCCACAGGGCCAGCGGGACCGGAGACCAGCACGAAGACAGAAGACTGCCTGTGTGTGGACAGATTCTGGAGGCTCCTGGGAATACACGGCCCTATTGAAATTCACCATGAAGAACCCCTTACAGTGGTGTACAAATGGGCAGTCACTGCTTTAAATTACAAAGTCAGCTGACAGCTGCAGCAAAACTGTGCCATATTACTAATCAGACCACACCAAGTTTTCCAGAATCTTATAGCCAAGCCCCTACCTTTCACAATACTCTTTTTTTAACCCCATTGAGGTAAATTCACCATCATCCCCATATCTAAAGTCCCTGTGCCTAACCCTAAACATAACTCTAAACCATGTGCTTCTGCTGTGTCATATGGCTGTTTTTCATTCTAACCAAAATCACTGCTTCTGTATTTGTAGTAAGATTTCTAAAAGCTCATAATTCATACACAATAATCATGATCAGAGGTGTTGCTAGAGATTTTTGGCCCCATGAAAGCATATTATATTGCCCCCCCCAACCTTGACCAATCATATGTTCCAAATTTAATAAGGCCCCTGTTACTCAGGGCCCTTGGAATCATCCTAACTGTCCCCCACTTTACAGCGCTCCTGATCATGATTGTTTGATTATGTATCCTTGTGCCAGAGTTATGGGGGTGGTGGGGGGTGGATTTCAACATCACAAGTAAATGCTACAACACTGACATCTAGTGGGCGGAAAAGTCTACTCCACAAAATGCAGAATCCATGCAAGCATTATGGTTCACACAAATATTACACCATCAAATCTTCTCCTTCAACCTATATAATTTGACCATATTTTACGAGCTGAATAATTTATTCATTAGATAGATAGATACATAGATAGGCTGTGCAATGGGCTTATTTTCAGTCAGAAGCTTACAATGCAATGGTGGGTGTTCATTGGCATCCTTGTGGTTCATTTTGTCCTCAGCATCATCTCCAGAACACTGAAAAACATTCATTTGATGTGAGTGAAGCAGGTACAAAAGTTTATAAACATAGCACCTTCTGGTGATACAGCAGAATTGCTAATCAACACCTCAATTTTCCTTCACTTCAGCTGAGGAGTACTACTTATATTTCCAAGTCATCCTTGTCCTGTGGTTTAGTAACACCAATTGAACCTTAAGGAATCTTAATGCTAATAGTCAGTACAACCAGGCTCCCTTAACAGGGCACTGCTGCAACTTGTGTAACTTTCTGGACATTTCACTGCATCATTTCTTTGCAGAATTAAGACCAAATAGAAACGAAAACATCTCACCTCTGTGTCTTTACCTACATGTAATGCCAGAAGTCTTTGTATTAGAAAATCAGCTTCATCCTTCGGAATCTCTGAAAGAAGAATAAATAAGCAAAATTAGCCTAGACATGTATCCATCCATCCATCCATCTTCCTTAGCTGCTTATCCCGTGCAGCAGGGTTCCCTGATTCCAGTCCTGGAGGGCCAGTCTGCAACACAGTTTGCAGATTTCCCTGCTCAAACACACCTTATTCAGCTCACCAGTTAGTTACCAGGTTTAATAGCTGCGTCGCAGCAGGGAAATCTGCAAACTCTGTCACAGAATGGCCCTCCAGGACCGGAACTGGGGAACCCTGCTGTGCTGGGTCACAGAAAGGCTGGAGCTTGCATTCCTACAAACTATCTCATATAAAAATCATTAAATAACAGATTTAAGTAGCTGCCTACCTGTTGGCAGTTCATAGTAGGTATCCAACAGAATCTTATGATGTGTTGGATTTTCAACCCCACAGACTTCAGCTCCTTCCATTATGACAACACTGTTCAAAAGCCACCATTTTCCTGGGCCCTCCTAGGAAAGAAACTCCAAAACTTTGCAAAAAATGTTGCACCAAATTGGACGTGACCTCCTTGAAGAGGTAGTTTGTTTTTTGGCACATAAAATTTGCCCGAGAAGCTGTCCTTTTTAAATGAAATGAACACGTCCAATAACAGAAATGAATCCTGTGAGATTTCTAGAGAATACCCAGACAGTACAAGATGATGACCTACAGTAAAGCTCTACATAGGCCAAAACATACCTTAGTTCCATGTTCGACACTCATAAGAGGAATCCACACAGAGCCCAGGAGTGTGTCCCAGACAAACCCTTTGTCCCACACTTCCACAAAAAGACCCTTTTCCAAGTTATTAATTTCACTGAAATAAGAAAAAACATCACTGCAAGTACTACAATATAAGTAGTGAATCACAGTGTCGACACTAACAGTAGGCTATACAGTGTGTAAGTCTACAATCCACTGCTGCCATGTTCCAGTGACTATGGTAATGCATTTAGTGATTTATTACTGCACAATTATTTAATCTTTATTAAACATCACAGACCATTGTGCAAAGTCAGGTGAAGAGTGTATTCATTCCCTTCATCTGTACCTTAATACCTATCTGTTTCTTCCCCCTGCCCGAGAAAACATGCCCAAGCCTTCACTGTTGACCTTGGCATGACCCAGTGTCTGTATCTAGTCTCCTTTGTGCCCCTCCCGGTGGGCTAATGCTGAAACAGCAGTGTTTGTTTAAATGCGTTTTCATCCCCTGACCAAATGCACCCTATTATTTCCCCCAAATAACACGTTACTTGGTTAGTTTGCCTTCCCAGTTTCAACACAAGGAGCAGGAGTTTATATATGGCCTAAACTTTCCAAAAGAATCAAGATTTAATGTAGGCACCTGCCCATGGATCTTGAAGGAGCCAGCAAACTGCAGCTAGATGGCAGTAATGTGAAAAGATGCTTCAACAATCTTGAAAATTACAGTTAAAATAACCAATGATTACCCCAGTACATGAAATATGATTATTAAAAAATGCTGCTTATTTGCCAAAAGGCACAGATCAGTTCATTCAGACCTAATGGCCAGCAGCTTATGCCATGCCCTTGCTCGGCTAAGACGTTAATTCCTCAGGCACAAACTTTATGGCAAACAATTTGTGGAACTAGACAACAAATCCAAGATGGTTTAGCTTTTGCTACGATGCTTTTTTTATGGCAAGTTTCTTCTGATCACATACTTACAACATATAATCTTGTTCCCATGATGGCTCATTGCCTCTTATCGGTCCAGTAATGCTCTTTAAATTCTGGACTTCTACTGTAACATACACATTGAACTTATCTGAGAAGCAAAAATACAAATGTGTGCATTAATAGGTGTTCAACCTAATATGCCTTTTACTACATCTGAATGGCAGACTTACCCTCCAGATAGACTTTAACAGGTTTGTATTTTACTAAATGAGTTCACAGCCTTGTACAAAACCAAACTTAAATTTAGTTGCCTGGATACTCCCCCTACTTTCTACGTTAAATTAATTAACCTTCTTTGTATTCGGGCATTGCTCTCCCTGGGTCTCTGTAGCTTGAATGATTTATAACAGCAAGACCTTAACGGTATGTGATGTCTTGGCAAAGTCCCTGCCTTTATCACAAAGCTATTGGAGATCACTGTCTACAGGGCTAAGCTCATATCCCAGGACTGTAGCCAGCGTGATGGCGTTTTACCTTCTCATTTCTCTAGAAGCAGTGGCAGTCGAAGGCTTTGCCTTCATTTAGAAACATATCTCTTGCTTATATCATATCACTTCCACTGACCAGGCATACATATTTTCTAAGTAATTATTGTTGAGAATATCATGAGCCTGCTAGTTCTCCTGGCCAAGAAGCAGCATTTCATGAAAAGCTTTTTATTCAATTTTATCCTGACTAAGGGAATTAATTTTTCCCTAAAAATCGTAAATATACGAAGCAGCAGGCAAATGCAGCCTGGTTTAGATTTTATTTTTCTTGTTCTAAATATTCCATACAGTATGAACCGGATAACAGTTGAGCCCCAGATCAAAACTATAATTTGGCTTACCAGGCGGTCCATTCAGTTTCCCTCTTTTTACTGAAAAAGAAATAAAATTGCATTGCATAATTAAAACACCGAATGCGACGTGCAAACAAGCCTTTTATTTAACTACATAATACGAGAGACTTGTTTAAGACATAAAGGATTTTGGAAACATTTGTCAAACCCAAACACTGATATAAGATATATGCGTTACTGCTTTGTTAAGGTCCCGCTTTTCGTCTCAAACGGAGCTTCTTCGGTAAAGCTCAAATAACTTTTTTAGCATGCTTCAGCATAGCAACAGATGAATCCATTATTGACCAACCAGCGCAGTAATTCAACGATTTAATTAACAAATCTGCCAGGAGGACAATAATATTACAAGCGTCTAGACAAATGAACCAAATTAATCCAAACACCAGACAGCCCACTATAGAAAGCTGGCAGCGTCTGTTTAATTTTAATTTAATGTTACCTTTTATGCAGAGTAAATACATCTTCAGGGATGGCATTAACGTAATAGGAAAGGAATAAGATCAAACGATCGAAGTTCCTCAGTCCGGGAGTGAGTGGGCAAAGAAGGGGACTGACGCGCGCGCGCGCACGGCTCCACCGACGGAGGGAGAGGGACCGCAGCGATGAAGGACGATACGGTACGTAGCCCATAATAACCTACAGTCCTGAAAATGATCCCCAAATGCTGAATCCACTTAGGAAATGCTGACTGACTCCCCCTATCTAACTACAGTTAGGCAGGAGTGCGGAGGCTCAAATGTTGGCCTCATATGGATATTCTAGAAAATGAACATTCAGCAGTTTCTGAACGACTTCAAGAGTAACCGCGGAGAAAATCCACATATCTGGTTAGGGTGACCATACATCCTCGTTTTCCCGGACTTGTCCTCTTTTTTTGGGACTTAAATGCCTGAAATGTCCGAGATTTCGCTTTGTTTCATGTTGACATTTGCTTTCTAGTCAAAATAATTTCTGTGTGTATATTTGAGTTGCTTTGACGTCTCCGCGTAATACACCTACAGTAGCGTCCTCTTTTTTGTTGGACGTGCCACATGACAGTACTTACCATCCACTCCGTTCTGAAAATTACCAGGAAAAATAAAAAGAATAAGCATGAATGAAGGATTCCTGGAACCAGGAGCTATTCTAAGATTTGAAAATTAGGGGGGCTCACCCCCCTTAATAAATACAAACTAAACATAGTAGACATGTTTTGCAGTGGGTTAATTTAGATAAATATTAATGGAAAAATATGCTTCTTATTCCAACTCACAATGACAAAGGAACGTACGCAGTTCAGCCAGATCCGATATTACTGCGAACTACAGCGCGCGGGACGCTTTTAAATTCAGAGAAAAAGGCGGGAGGCAGTCTGAGGTAAAATTCACCCCGGAAACTGTGATGGTTGGGTTTTAAAACATCACGTAAATGTTTTTAAAATGTATATATTTATGAAATTGTTTGTGAGTTAAGGATAGGCTATAATCTCAATTCTTTCTGAATGAAAAAATATATTTAGAGAGGTATAAAACCTCGATCCATTCCCTGAAATTACAAAATACATCATTTCAGTCTTGTTCAGATAAGAATGATTGTTATTATGATTAGGGTTATTTCAGTAAAATTTGGGATATTTTTCAAATGATATTTTTAAACATGCTGATTCTTAACATGAGAAGCTCCTGTTATTGGTCTGTTTTACCAAATGTGTCCGGTATAACGTTACTGTATTGGCTACTTAAAATATATAGCTTTCTTTTTCACGTCAAGTTTTTTTTAAAGCTTCATACATTTCCCGCTTTGGCTAAAAAGTTGTCTTAGTATACCTTCGTTCTCCTTTTACACTTCTATTCAGAAGGATCGCCGCAACAGGGTGAATCGTATTTCGCCCTTGATACAAAAACTCAAGGTTTAAGATATTATTAACCAAGGTTGTTTGGGCCTGGCGTAGTTTCCAAAAATAAATAAATATGTAAATATTGCGTACATGGCAAAAATAAAGAAATAAAAAGCTGTTCTGAGATTAGTCCATTCCATGTTCATATTTAAAGTAGTTTAATATTGAACAATAAACGGAACAATCAAAATACTTGACTGGTAACTTGGAGGTGGGCGGAGACCCAATTTTTTGATGGACTACCTTACAGTTGTAAGCTATTGAGAGTGAATCTGAATAAATGTGGCAAAATGGACATTATAGCTTTTCTGACAGGTTTGTCGAGTTTGCTTCTTAGCTTGCTTAAAAATAAAACATAGGTCTTGTACCTTTTTTTTTTTTAGCAACCAAAGACTGTGTGTTATATGCATATGTTTTTATTTGTTCAAACTAAAATTACGATGTACAGCATAAAACAGACTGAATGTCGGTCGTACTGTCCATGTTTACACCAGGTAAGTTAAAATCCCCATCCCCCCACGTACGACGCATAGCTCGTCCGGCAGAATGGTTCTGGCGCCGGGCTGGGCTTCAGCCCGGGTAAGCATGTGCATTTAAGTGCCCCTGCCTGTTTATAAAACATAAACATTTCACATCATGGTCTATAACAGGCCCAGGAATGCAGTAGTTTTTTGTTGTACATAATGCAATACTATGGAATGTCCTGCAGGTGGCTGTCTAGTTTTGATGCAGCCAACCAACACAAGAACATCCACCAAATTCTATAACTGCTTATCCAATACAAGTTCAAAATTAGCCTACAGCCTGCCTCACAAAGCACAGGATTTATGGCAGGGGGCACTGTGTATGAAATGCCAGTCCATCATATGGGTAGTTTGGAGATAACAACAGCGTGTATTTCTACTAAAGGAAGACCCATGCTGATCCAGTGAGGGCAAGGGGTGTCACATTGCAAAAGATGAGCTCACAGTGTGGACGACTCATGTTCTGATATTTACTGTCTGTGTAAACTGCATAGGGGCAGGCATTCCATTTAGGATGTGCCTCAGCCTTGTGCCATGTGCTGCCTGGGATAGGCTGCGGGACCCCCCTGTGACTAAGAAGTGCTAAGAAGATATCTGAGTAAACCACATGTAGCAGGTGGAATATTGATGACCTTTGTTTTGTCTTCATTTTTTTTTGAGCATTGCAGTAAGTCATATTCCATTCTTGCAAACTTCAGCCTTGTCTTCCTAAGACCAAAATGTTTTTTAATGTAGCTGCCATATTCTTCTTCAAATGTCTTCATGTTGGGCTTATAATGGTTGTGGGCTCAGAGCGGAACTCCCCAGAGCTTCCAGTATAAATTTGTCTTTCTATATGAAATTGATTTTATGATAATCCAAATCCAATGATTACCCTGGCCATGGGAGCTGTGTCTTGAATTTCTATGAATTTTATTGTTGATGGACGAAGATGTTGACTTTGTGAGACATAATCATTGCTCTCCATGTCAGTTGTGTTTTACTGGCAAAAGAAGCACATTCCTTTTCATGCACATTTACCCAGCTTCAATCAGTCCTGAAACTGTGTTAAATTTTTAGAGACACATTTTTTACCTAAACAAGGAATGGAGTGGATTGGATGGTTTGGAGTTTATACAGCATAACAGTAGCCATAAACGTGACATAATAATAAAAGATTGTGATTATAATATCTGCAATATAAAAAGTGTGTAGTTTTGTAGTGTGTAATTACTGTAGGGGTGTTGTAGGGACATGGATATCCTGGACGATTCTGGGGTCCCAGTACTTGACAGGGGCCCTTGAATATGTCAAATCTTGTGTAAAATTGCATTGGGAACCCACAGCGATATTTGGTCAGAGGGCCCAGAATTTCTAGGTACAGTATGCCACTGTGTGTAATACAGTAGGATGTGTTACTTCTGGAGTAATAATTTGTCATTTCTGTTTGCATTGTTTCTCTTTGTAAATTTACTTTCGAATATATAAAGGGAAAGGTATTACTCCGCAAAAAAAATTTCATGAAAAAATAAGAATACTGTTTCGTTTACATATGTAACCACTAGATGGGGACCTAATACCATTAAAAGTACACTACCTGTACCCTCAGTACATGCCCATCCTAAACACACCAATGCAGGGTCACAGTGACGTAAAGGCTTATCTCAGCAGAGCACACCACACCATCACAGGACTCACCCACACACTTACTGCTATTTAGAGACACAGGTTGACCTGAGTGAATCCAGCAAAGGTGACAATTAGTAGAGAGCTTCTCACATGCTTATGTACAGTTTGTTTGCTGCTTGTAATTAAAGATATTTCTTCCAGAATTTTTGTTTTAATGTGATGTAATTATGCAATACAATATGCAAGTTTTGTTTTCATGAGAATTGCTTTAGCTCTGTCCAGCTAGTTGAAAAATAATCTGCTGTTTTGACTAGAGACTTCTGATGGATTAGGATTAATTAAGGCACTGTGAAAACCGGAGTGGATTGTGGTGATCAATTTAAATGCTGAGAATGATGTGATGGAATTGTCCTCTCATCTGTGCATTTTTAATCCCAGACACATAGCTAATAATAGTGATCAGTGCTCATTAGCTAATTTACTGCAACATTCAAGTATGGAAATTCATTTTGTTGTTAATTTTCCTTTGTGGAAGTAATCCAACAGCACATCTAGAGACTTCAAAATTTACAACCATCATCTTCTCCCAAGAATTACTGAATGTATTTAATATAATTTTTGTGAAAGGTTAATGTTCTAATTAAGTGTTTTACTTTATTGAGGCAAGAGAATTACTATGGTTTTCCTGAAGACTGTTGTTTAACTTTTGCTTCAAAAATGAAAAGAAACCTTAAAAAACTGGCTAGTTATTTTGTCTGTACAATCCAGGGGTACCAGCTCTTTCTCAAAGTAGTTGCAAACTGCATATGATAGGGAGGTGCAAGGCAGATGCGCTTCAGGCATCCACAAAGACCAACCCCCCCCCCCCTGGATTTTCAGCAGTGAGGTGCTGCCTTCTGTTTTGCAAGGCTGCTGTGCAGACCTGCCCCAACCAGGCTTGTCCTGGCAGTGTTTCTAGAGTTTGGGAGGCAATATGAAGTTGAGGGGACAGCTCCCACCCCCCACATGCCTCCCAGGCAAGGCAGATGCGGTCTTGGTGAATTAAAAAAAAACGCCAGCTGGCTGACAGGTGGGCTCAGAAAGGGGGAACCGAAGTGCAGGTACGAGATGAACTTGGGGAGGTTTATTAAAGGAAATGGCACCATGTCACACGCCATCAAAGGGCCCAAACAAAACCCAGAGCTGCTGCAAGATTTGTGTGGAGAGCGGGAGTGCGGGGCCTTTGTGTAGAACAGCGGGGGACAGAGAGATGAGACCATCCATGCAGAACTGGGCAGCTGCGGCTGAATCTTGGGGTGAGAAGTGGGGGGAGATAGCAACATCTTAGCAATCCCAAACATTAACATGCAGATCGCAGAGAAATTCCACTCATCAGCTTTAATCCTGCAACACTTCATAAAGGCTGCTCAGATCTGCACTAAATGACTGTTTAATTTACTGATTAGAATAGAGTGCTTGCTGATATGGATGGTGGGCCGGATCGTTCCAGTCTGGAGTCTCCGTCAGAATGAGGGGGACAAGAGAGTAGCTAATTGGAACAATCGCACAATCGGGTTCAAAAGCTGCAGAGCGATTACAGGACACTAGTCCTGAGCCACTATTGTGAACAGAAAAAATTCTTTTTGTCTAAACCCCCCAGACGGCGATGCCATCTGCTGGACGTCCCACAAAATCAACTCTTTCACCTCAAATTCAATGACGTGTTATCTTCATTTCTGTAATCATTAAAAAAAAAAACACAGATCCATAGAGCGGCTTGAATTTAGTAGCTTCTGTTTGTGCCTTGCTGTGTCAGCAAGCTTCTCAGGGATTGTGTGTCATCACCCTTTTCTTCACTTAATAGGCTGTGGGGTCCCAAATTCACTCTCAGAGGGATGGGCGCTAGGTTAGGACCCCGTTCACTCCCTTTGTGAAGGTGCTTCCGAAGGATTTAGACCTTTGGACAAAGCACACAGCAAAAAGGCTGTGTTGTGTGTATGTGTGGGGTGAGGCAGTGGGGGGGGATCCCAAAGGAGCATGCAGCTGGGAGAAATCCATTTCAAACACACCAGCAAAGTGTGTTCTCTACACACACTTTCAGCACATATAAGATTAAAGATCTTATGACTCATTCTTCAGTCCTCTGGTTTCATTCCTCTGGTTTTACAAATGGGACATAAAATTGTATTTTACTTCAATTTTTCTGCAGTTATATAATAGCATTTTACCTTTGAGTATCTGAACACCATCCCTGC